AAAAGAGTGTGAACTTCGTAGATGTACTACCACCACAAAGATCACTCTGTGGAGCGCTAGAGATAGGGAAATATCTTACCCCTATATAAATATCATATATATCCTGTGATAAAGTGAAGGCAGATATGCCTTTTAACCCCAGGGGGAGTCTGTGTAGGATGTGTTGTAGGCAACACAAAACGCTGTTTAGATTATGGGCCCCTGGGGTGGAGCATTTGGAGAGAAGGGTGGGCCAATGCTCCACTCCACAGTTTAGTGGTTTTCTGGGGAGACATGGATCCAGGCCAGGGTTTTTTGGATCGTCTCCAACCCACTGCTCAGCTGCAGTTAATGAGCTGTTGCAGTGGGAATAAACTCCTCCCTGCTAGGCAGGTAAAGGAGAGGGATTGCTGGCTTCCTCCCAAGAAGCAGGTAGGAGGGAGAGGCTGTTCTCTCCAGATAGTCAAGGAGACTAGGCACTTGGAGTGCAGAAAGGAAGCAGTCAGGGCAAGACTGGCTTGGAGCACTGGGAGTGCAGAAAAGAAAGCAGTCAGGGCAAGGCTGGCTTGGAGCATTGGGAGTGCAGAAAGCAAAGCAGTCAGGGCAAGGCTGGCTTGGAGCACTGGGAGTGCAGAAAGGAAAGCAACAGGTTAGATAGCAGAGCGTTGCTCTCTAATAAGGTTGGTGCAATATTGTGTTTAGTTTAACCCTGAGAGATAGGGAACTAATGTCAGTTAGTGCTCAGACGAGCTAGGTGTTTGTTTATAGGGTTTTCTGTTACTTTTGTTTTCATTTACTGCTGTATCCTGTGTGGATTTACAAAATAAAGTGCCTGAGTATATGCAATTACAAGGACTGTGCATGTTTTTGCCCTAGAGGACCGTGCTACCTGCAAACAAGGATCACAATATGGTGGAGAATGCGGGCAAAGTAGCACAGTGAGGGTCTGTGGGTGTGCCAGTCATTTGGTAGTCTGCTTGAGGAATTTTATTTTTGCAGACCTGTTACACAAACAAGTAGCACTGTACCTTTAAGACTCTTACCTGCTTGGTGCTATAATGGAGGACCTGCTGAGAGCTGTGGTACAGGCAACGGCTAAACAACAAGGCATAAACAGTTTCCTGGCTGCACAGGATAAGAACCTGAGGGACGCTCAGCAGGAGCATAGAGCTGCCCTTACGGAGGTTTTGCAGATTGCCCCCTGCAGGGAGCGTGGGGACAAGGGACCCTGTAACCAAGCTACTGACATCCTGCATGGGATGACAGAGGCAGTAGAAGAAGTCTTCAGCAAGCTGAAAAGCATGGAGGCAGCAAAGCGTGCTGTTGAGAAACACGCAGGAGAGAAAGAACAGGAATTAAAAGGCAAGAAGGATGAAATTGAGCCTAAAAGTAGTGATAAAGAGGTCTTTGAAAAAGAGTTTGTGGTAAGCAAAAACCACCCAGAAGGTGTAAGTAAAGCTAGTGAATACAGCCAGGGAAAGAAAAATGAAGCAGAAGCCCCTGATGTACACCCAAGTGAACAAGTCAAAGGCATGAAAAGCAGACTGACTTGGGGAGTCAGAGAAGACAACAGCAGAGGAGCTGAGCAAAATGGAGAGAAGCAAGGCACCCCAGTGGAGTATAACAATGTGGTGCACTGTTTAGTAGCTGAGGCTACCCAAGAATGTCGACCAGCTGTTGAACAGTTTGGCAGAGAAAAGCAAGGCCGAGAAGTAGTAGCAAAACAAAGTCAAAACAAGAAAGGCAAAGTAGCCGCTTCTGATCTAAGCCAAGAGAGAGCAACAGTTACAGAACCAAGCTGTGATGATAAGATGGGCACGTCCGCAGCTAAGCCAGACCAAGGCAAACGTCACAAAGTAGGTGACATTGGCATAGCAGAATTAAATATTTCAGAGACACCTGGTATAGCTACAAACACCTTAAAGGATTGTCCAGGAGCCGTAGAACTAGATCTGCTGGCAAAGACTACTGCTACAAGGCCTTGGCGCACTGACTACCGGGAACAGCTGCCAGATTCAGAGAACACAGTCATGGAATTAAAGGCGGGACTCGGAATGCCTGACCGGCTGTTTGATACCAGGGCTGTAATGACCCAGCGAGATGCCATGACTGTGTCTCTGGACACCCCCATAGGGAGCAAGGCAGGTTCCCAGGGATTCGCAGAACAGATGGAGGATGTTGTGGAGCCCTTCGCGGAGGGACTTGTTCCAGTGAAGGATGAGCTGGTGACAGAACCAGGTCTTGAAGAGGTTGAGCACCTGGAAAATTCAGCTCATGAAGGAATTGGACACGCCAAGCCTTTGCAAAGTTTGCTTTTGAAAGTTACTCTAACGTTGAGAGATTGTCAAATCAGAAGCTGCTGTGGATGTGGAAGCAGATGATGATGATTCAGAGGAACTCGGCTACTAAGGAGCCACACAGTACTGATCTTCAGCCTAGATCCGCTAGCAACCAGATAAGCGGGGAAACTGGAAAGCAAGGACAAAGTCTGGGACAATATACCTATGATGGTAGAACGTACCTAAAAGTCCTATTTTGGCTACGAGACCAGACTGAGAAAAACTGCTTCAACTGCCGCATGCATGGACATATTACATATAACTGTCCTGAGAGTGAAGAGCCAATACAATGTGACATAGGAATAAGGGCTCTGTATAGGATTGTACTGACTTGCTTAAAGATGTGTATAGTGACTGGTGGTGGTGTTACAGCACAGCTAAAAGTGGTGATGGTGGTAGGGAAGAGTGCACAAGCACTGATAGATTCAGGGAGTGAGGTTACTTTGATGAAAAGTGTTTTGTTCCAGCCAGAGTATGCAGCTGCCTACCTAGATGTGGTGTTTCACAGGGTTGACCGGGTAGCACACCTGATGAAGGTCCGGTTAGTTGTGAATAATGTAAAGGATGCCGGTTTGACCGCTAACACTGCTAACTATTTGGGTTATCATATTGGGTGCGGGCTCCTTAAACTACAAGGGAGCAAGGTAGCCCCCATCCACAATAGGCCACTTCCTATAACTGTGAAGCTAGTCAGGGCTGGTAGAGGCCTAGGTGTTATGAATGTTCACGGTTTGTGTTCTAAGGCCGCTCGACCCGATGGGTCTGAGCTGGGGAGGAGGATATGTGATAAAGTGAAGGCAGATAGGCCTTTTAACCCCAGGGGGAGTATGTGTAGTTTGTGTTTTGCACAACACAACACATTGTTTAGTTATGGGCCCCTGGGGTGGAGCATTTGGAGAGAAGGGTGGGCCAATGCTCCTCTCCACAGTTTAGTGGTGTTCTGGGGAGACCTAGATCCAGGCCAGGGTTTTTTGGACTGTCTCCAACCCACTGCTCAGCTGCAGGTAATCAGCTGTTGCAGTGGGAATAAACTCCTCCCGGCTAGGCAGGAAAAGGAGAGGGATTGTTGGCTTCCTCCCAGGAAGCAGGTAGGAGAGAGAGGCTGTTCTCTCCAGATAGTCAAGGAGACTAGGCACTTGGAGTGCAGAAAGGAAGCAGTCAGGGCAAGACTGGCTTGGAGCACTGGGAGTGCAGAAAGCAAAGCAGTCAGGGCAAGGCTGGCTTGGAGCACTGGGAGTGCAGAAAGCAAAGCAGTCAGGGCAAGGCTGGCTTGGAGCACTGGGAGTGCAGAAAGGAAAGCAACAGGTTAGATAGCAGAGCGTTGCTAACTAATAAGGTTGGTGCAATATTGTGTTTAGTTTAACCCTGAGAGATAGGGAACTAAAGTCAGTTAGTGCTCAGACGAGCTAGGTGTTTGTTTATAGGGTTTTGTGTTACTTTTGATTTTCATTTACTGCTGTATCCTGTGTGGATTTACAAATAAAGTGCCTGGAGTATTTGCAACTACAAGGACTGTGCATGTTTTTGCCCTAGAGGACCGTGCTACCTGGTGACAAGGATCACAAGTCCATAATGAATGCAGCAGCGAGGCTCATCTTCCTGTCCGCCCGCGCCTCCCATGCCTCACCATTCTGTCAGTCCCTACATTGGCTTCCTATAAAATATAGAGCTCAATTTAAAATTCTGGTTCTTGCTTTCAGATCTCTACATAATGCTGCTCCCACCTATCTATCCTCCATAATACACAAGTATGTCCCGTCTAGGCCCTTACGATCTGCTGAAGACTTACGTCTATCATCTGTCCGTACTCCCACCTCTGATGCTCACCTTCAAGATTTCCCTCTAGCATGTAAGCTCATTGAGCAGGGCCCTCAACCCCTCTGTTCCTGTGTGTCCAACCTGTCTGGTTATAACTACATGTCTGTTCATCCACCCATTGTAAAGCACTGCGGAATTTGACGGCGCTCTATAAATATCATAATAATAATAACTACATGTCTGTTTGTCCACCCATTGAAAAGCGCTGCGGAATTTGTTAGCGCTATATAAATACCATAATAATAATAACAATAATAATATATATATGTGCGTGTGTGTAGTGTGACTTGAGGGGGCCTTAACACTGTGTTAGAGACCACGGTGGCATCCTGTGTTACCCAATGCAGCAGAATGTTCTGAAACCCTGATGGCACCTAATATTACCCAATGGAACAGAACTCTTTGATGGCACCCTATATTATATCCCATGTGGTAAAAGCCTCTGAACCTTCTGATGGTGCCCCATGGAATTGAACCATCTGCTAACATGGTGTGCCTGCAGAACCCTCTGAATCCCCTGATGGCACTCCATGTTACTACCTGAACAGAATCCTCTGAACCTCCTGATGTCACCCCAAATGGCAGAACGTTCTGGACCACCTGTTGGCAACCTAGGTTACCCTATGCTGCAGAATCCTCTGAACACCTTAACCCTCTGAACCCTGTAATGGCACCCCACATTATCCCCATGGTGCAGAACCCTCAGAATCTCCTTATGGCATGCAGCAGAAGTCCCTATTGGCATCCCATGTTACTCCATGCAGCAGAACCCCCTAATGAGAACCTGCAATGGCACTCCATGTTACACCCATGCAGCAGAACCTGGATGCAGATAGGGTAGACATCTCATGGCAGAGAGTATTACTATTATGTTTCACTTCTCTTTTCATGGTTTTTAGAGACTGATTTAGACCATATTGTGTTTTCCAGAAGGAGAGTCCTTAGAGTTACCTGCAGATTGGGACCCGATGGGTAGCAGTCTGGTGAAATTGGTGCAGCTGAATACCTCCGCACCAGAATACACAAATGTCCAGACGCTGTTTGCAAGAACTTGTCATATGAGAATACTGAAGGTAATTATCTCTCTTCTAATGTAAAGTTGTCCTTTCTGTGTAAATGTGACCATGCCAATACAAAAACAATAGTGGTACCCTAACCACCAACACATCGGTAAACTCTGAAAATGGTGGTAAAACAGAAATAAACAAACACCATCTTTCTTGTTTATTTCTAAATGTGACGTGGCCTGACCAAGACATTGCTCTGTCTGGGTCCAAGAACAAGATGCTCCCCCCACCCAGAATGCCCCCCACATCCTATACAGACACACACACAATGCACCCCATCCTACACAGACATACCCACATAATGCACTACATTATTAAACACAGAATAATATTTCCATCCACCCACAATTCACATTTCACCTCCACTGCTTCCCCTGCTCTGTGTCCCCAACTTATATCACCCTGTAAACTCTACCAATGTTATTATATAGAGTGCTGCCCCCCATAGGTCACTGCAGGTCTCTAAATTCATCCAAATACGGCTATAATTATTGCCCCAGTCATATTCCATATTCCCTCCATTACACCAATTCAGCCATATCTACCAATTCCACTTACTGTGTCCCTACTGACGTTAGGTGAAACTGCTTGTAACGGACACAAGAGGTTAAAAACCGTTTAGGCGATATTCCCCTTCCCCGATGCACAGGCAGCTACTGTAAGCACCAATCTCCCGAACTGCAAACTACACGAATACTGGAAACAGCCGAACAGGTAAAAACGTACGAAAGGTTTACACTCCTGGCAGTCAGTATACAATCCAATTCCCCCAATAACGAGACGACACTTCGTTTTGAGGGTCAAGCAGAATCTGGTTTACTGGGGTTACCTGCCCGGCTTTTATGCAGGTCTCCCACCTGGTGGACACTCCCCTAGGGGACCAGATGGGAAACTGGGAAACATATTGGACGTTGACCAATCACAGACGTACACATTTCCACAATCCCACAATGCATCACAATCCCTCCTCTCTGCCCTGGAGATAATTGGGAAGTAATCCAATTATCTCCAAGGACAGAGGCAAAACTCCATTACACACGTTAGTAAAAAGACATAAAATTACATACGGTTACATTTATTACATAAAACATACACATTCTACCTATCCCCAGATAGCTTAGATCTGATCGCACATTACTACCGAATGGCACTCAGATCACATACATACAGTTCAATCGCCATGGAGCCAAAGTCTTTCCCATAGTCTTTCGTTACACGAATAGGCTCCATGGCATGGCCATCTGGGGTGATGCTGTTCATACGGTTAAACTACCGAATGAACAGTCTGTCTGTTCCACTACCGAATGCAGAGGTAAGGAGGCTGGCGGCTCAGCGGTGTTCGCACAATTAAGTGTCCGTTTTCCGTTCCATAGTTTGGGCGCTGAACACCGCTGGCCATTCGGGAGCTAAAATGGCCACTGCCACGTGTTCGGCAACCAAACAAAGGCCACCCAGCGTTCGTCAATTAAGCTGCGGTTAACCGCAGCTTCTGGGCGGTCAATTGACGGTACACTCCAGTTCCCAGGTGGTCCATCGATCGGTACTTTGTTCGGTAGATTGAATCTACCGAACACCCTGGCAGAAAGGCACGAATACGCCTTTCTGCAGGGAAAATAAAAGGTTTTAACTGCCGGGCCATAGTCTAAAGGGAGCAGGCGAGCAACCAGGCTTCTCCAGTGCATAGTGGCGAGGTTGGTTCCGCCACCCTGCTCAACAATGAAAATGTTTCTGACTTCAAATTACTTACATTTAATTGATTTCAGAGTGTGAAAAAAGAATATTTAAAACTGTTATCGGTAAATGTAAACCAACGTATTAGCAATCTCTTATAAGTGATCTATTGATAATGAAATATGTAAATATTGGACCACTATAAAAATAATGGTCAAATTCCCAGGTTGAAATAGGTCGTAATAGAAATCTAAATAAATAAATCAACTAAAGTATATACAGAAAAATATAGGGTGAACATGATAATTACTGAGAGTATAATCATAATGAGGTTTTGTTCAAAAGCTTTCAGAAACCTTCATCCAGTAATGTATGCAAAACAAAGTTTTGCAATTCACATGAGCTATATACATTAGAATCACTATATTGTAGCAGGTTTGTTATCTGGATGCGAAGTAACCGAGCTGCAGCATAACACAGGATAGTTGAACAAGTAGCGTACCTTGTGCCATGTGAAATGATCAATTTGCATGGGCTATATACGGTATTGACTCTGCATTATAGCAGAAATGCAGGGTATCCTAGCTGCAACATAAAAAGGAAGGAATATGGATGCAAAACTTTAATCGTAATGATCTATGTGCCGAGCGATATGGGACGCTGCACCAACATTCTGATAGTTAGTATACTATGTATCCGATCTCTGCTACAAAAAGCTATTATGCTTAATAAATTAGCACAAGTGAATGGATGCTTAACCGCTCAGGCTGTTAATAAAGAAATGGTTAATATCACAAAAAATCAAAAAAGAGGACCGAGAATCTGATCCTCAATAGATCTACTATTATAGTGCTGCCTGAAGCATAAGCGGTTAGGCCAACTCGGGGTCGTGAAACAGAAAAAGTATCCGGTCTTAATGAAATGTTAAATGAAAATGAAGTCTCAAGACCAGCGAGTCCTACTTATAAGAGATTGCTAATACGTTGGTTTGCAACCTATGTCTAATGGATTGTAAATATCTTTGTATACATTCTTATTTATGAATAGTATTCTTATTTAGGACATTCAGACCCTAATTTTACTATTACTAATAAAAGTTACATTTTAAGGGCACTCACTATTTCTTTTGTTTTTGGGTTAACCTGAGTACCCTTTAAGCTTCCTCTTTCTCGCATTACTTTTCGGTTCTGTGATATAGCTCATTTATGATGAAATAGGGTGTGGCGAAACCAACCTCGCCACTGTGAACTGGAGAAGCCTGGTTGCTCGCCTGCTCCCTTTGGACTATGGCCCTGCAGGTTAAACCGTTTATTTCCCCTGCAGAAAGGCTTATTTGTGTGATCTGAGTGCCATTCATCTAATAATGTGCACTCAGATCCCAGCTATCTGGGGATATGTGAAATGTCTGTGTGTTATGTGAAAAGGTTACTTTATGTATTTTAAAGTGTTTTGTGTCTTTTTGCAACCATGTGCTTAATGGAGTCTTGTGTCTATCCTGGGAGATAATTGAATTACTCTCCAGGATAGAAGACTCTGAAACTGGTTTGGGCCAGAAAGCCATGCTTCATTTAGTCACAAAGGACTTTCCCTTAACTTTTGAACCCCTGGTCTGATTCGTGCCATTTTTTAATATGTTGTTCCCCTGAATGGATTGATTATGAAAATGTATGTTTTATGTATGTGACATGTATATTTTAGAAGTTAGAAATATTGTGTAAAAACTGTATTCCTCTGCCGGTGATAATGAGATTACCCATTGTGTTCAGTAATCATATCACCTGCAGAGGGGAGGATTTTGTGTGGGAGTGTCTGGGTGTATTGTACGGATTGATTGGTTGTTTTGTAACGCCCTGTGGGCTGTACTATGTTTGTGGATTGGGAATAAAAGAGACTGTATGTGACAGTACAGGGAGTTCCTGTTTTAACCCTCAAAGTGAAGTGTCGTCTCATTATTGGGGGAAGGATTTATTGTATGCTGTTCCAGTTTGACTGCTAGGAGAGTAAACCTATTCGTATGGTTCCTATTCAACTGTCTACAGCATTCATATGCTTGAGAGAAGGTATATGCTTCTCCGGTTCGGTGGTTGTGGTGTCTGCTGCAGTGCTTGGAATCCTCAGGAAGCGCTAGGAGCATCCTTCAACGGAGGTACCCAGTCGGGGTGCCAGGCGATCCGTTACATAGGGTATTGTGGCAAACCTGAGTACCTGAATGATGAATTACCGTCAGACCTGTTTTGTGTATTGTTTGCATGAAGTGAAGGTTAGAGTGTTGTTTTTTATTGTTTTTTGTTTGGCGTGATGTTAAAAGCCAGGATTCCACATAAATGTGTTGCCATTGCTGACATTGTTTTGCTATGTGTGCGGTGATGTGGCAGAATCACCCAATTACTCCACTCATGAAGACAGTCTATCGCGTTATTTTGGCATCCACTTGGGGACCAGGACAAACCCTGGTCACTTCATATTTGCTGCAATACATATTCTGTGAATATATGTGGATGGTTTGTTAAATAAAAGACGTTCAGTGCTGTAACGGCACCCCCAGGCATAAAAAGGGCTTAAACCGCCGTTTAGTAGATCTTCCCCTTCCAGAGACACAGGCACAGCTACTGCAGAACCCCAAACTCCCGAACTGCATACAAAGTAGCACTCCAAACTCCCGAACTGGAACCTCACGAATAGCTGCTAGCTGCTGAACAGCAAAAACACCCAAGCGTCTTACACTCCTGGCAATCAGTCTCTAACAGCATGCAGTAAATCCCCCCAAGAACGAGACAAAGCTCCGTGTTGAGGGTCAAGCAGGAACAGGCAGAGTTTTGGGTTTATTGTTCTTATATACACATTAGTACCACCCACAGGGTTTTGGAAAACAACCAATAAACACATAAAATACACTCAGACACTCCCACACAAAATCCTCCCCTCTGCCTGTGATACAATTACCTTACACAATGGGTAATGTAATTATAACAGCCAGAGAAATACAATTTTTCCACATTATTCAGAGCTTGAAAAGTATGCATCACATTCACATAAATGAATCAGAATAAGCATACTCCAAATACAAACATATGTCAAAATCATCCAAATTGGTCCATTGATTCAAAAGATAGATCGAAGTCCTTTGTGACCAAATGAAGCATGGCTTTTCTGCCCAAAACCAGTTCCACAGAGTCTTCTATCCTGGAGATAATTGGGAAGTAATCCAATTATCTCCAAGGACAGAGGCAAAACTCCATTGAACACATGGCAGCAAAAGACAATAAAACACATAGAAATATAACTGTGCAGCCATTGCACAAAACAGGTACATTCAACATATCCCCAGATAGCTCAGATCTGAGCGCACATTATTACTGAATGGCGCTCCGAGCACACACATACAGTTTAATTGCCATGGAGCCAAAGTCTTTCCCATAGTCTTTCATTATACGAATTGGCTCCATGGCATATCTATCTGGGGTATCACCGTTCAAACAGGGCAAGCACGAATGACCCAGCTTTCATGTCTTTGCAGGGGAAAATCAAGCATTTCAACATGGGGCCATAGTCTAAAGGCAGCAGGCGGGCAACCAGGCTCCTCCAATGCACAGTGGCAAGATTGGTCTCGTCACAAGTGCCTTTTGCCGTTCTAATGACTTGGAGAGAGTCCACAAATTATATAAATGACTGCTATTCCTGCATGGTACCTCCTATTAAATATGTCAAGAAAAAAAGACTAGTGTGGAATACCCCATTATCTCGCCAGTTATCTGACCAGTGCCACATGGGGTCAATCTGCCTGTGAGGTCACCCTCCAGAAGCCAATTTCATCAAGAACATCTTATGGATGAAAACCTTGGGTTAGTCCTCGATGTTTGAGAAGCTTTTAAATGTGTTGAGCAGCTGAAGAGCTGACAAACAACCTGTGGCGGCCACTCGAGTAGGGACACAGGTCTCGCCACCAAGAACGTCCTTTCCAAGGATCTCAGTCGGTGCCTTCTTCAGCGATTATAGCAGGAGAGTGTGTTCTAGAATATGAAAAACAAAGTTTGTAAATAAAATTCTAAAACTTAGTTTGCTCGGTCACAAATTTATTAACATCTATAAAAGCTTCAAAAGATTTAAAAGTATTAGAAGGGGCAAATTTAAGACCTTTGGTTAAAACTGCTATTTGTGCGCTAGTTACAATTTTCTGTGAAAGGTTAAAAATGCCGCTGCTAGTACTGCTAGTGCGCGCCGGCGTCTAAACTACCGTTCCCATACCCCCATGCGGCAATATGCCGGTCACATGACCAAGCAAACTAAGTTTTAGAATTCTATTTATAAACTTCGTTTTTCATATTCTCTTATGTAATATGTATTAACCAATCACAAGCTTACAATCCCACAATGCATCACAATCCCTCCTCTCTGTCCTGGAGATAATTGGGAATTCGCGCTCAGATCACATACATACAGTTCAATCTCCATGGAGCCAAAGTCTTTCCCATAGTCTTTCGTTACACGAATAGGCTCCATGGCATGGCTATTTGGGGTGATGCTGTTCATACGGTCAAACTACCGAATGAACAGTGATTCGGTTCCACTACTGAATGCAGAGATAAGGAGGCTGACGGCTCAGCGGTGTTCGCGCAAATAAGTGTCCGTTTTCAGCTCCATAGTTTGGGCGCTGAACACCGCTGGCCGTTCGGGAGTTAAAATGGCTGCTGCCACGTGTTCGGCAAACGAACAAAGGCCACCCAGCATTCGTCACTTAAGCTGCGGGTTAACTGCAGCTTCTGGGCGGTCAATTGACGGCACACTCCAGTTCCCAGGTGGTCGATTGTTCTACCGCACATCCTAGCAGAAAGGCACGAATACGCTTTTCTGCAGGAAAATAAAAGGTTTTAACTGCCGGGCCATAGTCCAAAGGGAGCAGGCGAGCTACAGTGGACAGTGGCGAGGCTGGTTTTGCCACATTCACATAAGTTCTTGTCCCGAAAAGTGCTCCCCTGGCCTATTTGGGGAAGGAGCAGGCGGTGTTCCTGAGGTAGCTGTCCGATTTCAGTTCCATGCTTTCAACGTCTGAGTACCGCTGCCTGCATTGGTGATACAAAATGGCCGCCAGTCCACGTGCGTTCATTCATCCGAATGGTGGCCACCCAGACGAGCACTTAAGTTAATGGGTTATATAACAATAATGAGTGGGTTCAATTAAGTTAATGAGCCAGGGGGTGGTCTGGGTTCGTGAGGTATAAAAGGGGAAAACGCTCTTTATTCGGTAACTGAACAACCAGGGTTATAACCGAATGAAAAGTTTAATAAGTGACGAGGTGTTCTGTCACACAACCTTCTCGAAAAGGAGCAGCAACTGGGCTACAACATGTCACTCAAAAAACAACTTACTCAACTCTTATCTGGACTTCTTCCATGACAACTGCTGTGCAGTGAGTAATGGGCACGGTGACCGGTTACAAGACATTTCAGCAAAGGAACGAAGATATTAGGGAAGGTGGAACGCTTCTATGCTTGCTGACTGTCGTTGGACAGTGACTAAAAATCCCCTAGAAAAGTAGTACATACGACAAACCGCTCTTTTAGATAATGCTTTCAGTTTGTATGTTTTAAAAAAAAAAAAAAATTCTATTTACGAGTGAAAACAACTTTAATTTATGTCAAGAAAATGTCAGGTTGTTGTAGTAATATTGCTTTTCACTATGATTAGAGCGCAATAAATCTATCTCAAAAGCTACAGCTAATAAAAAAGAATAATTAAAGGAGAAAAGAGGGGGAAGCATTATAGGAGGCAATAGAGCAAAAAGGAGCAGAATAGATATCAATAAAGAAATCGCACCCACTGGAATTTCTTTAATTTATCTAAAAGTTAGGAAAAGATGACATCTCTTTGCTGAATAAAGTTTTAAAGCTTGCACCTTCTAAGGGTCAGTATGATGGCAGATGAATGCAAAGTTATGCACTTCGGCGTAAAGAATACACAAGCAACGTATACCCTTAATGGAAGCGAATTAGGGATAACAACACACGAAAAGGACTTGGGAATTGTTATAGACAACAAACTATGCAACAATGTGCAATGTCAATCAGCAGTGGCCAAGGCCAGTAAGGTATTGTCATGCATGAAAAAGGGCATTCATTCTCGGGACGAGAATATCATTTTGCCTCTGTGGCAAACCTAGCCACTTGGACTATAACCAGAGACTGTACCTTTAAGGGTTGCCTGTATGTCTGGGGAGATATGTGTTTAACTACGTATATTGTATGCTGACTGTAATGTATTGAATTGCCTGTAATTGCTATCCGCCGAATGCAGATAGCTGTTTGTTAGGGGTTTTCCTTTCGTTTCAAGAACGGCACTTTGGAGGGCCGTTCATGAATCGAAAACACTACCCCTAATAGCCCACACACTTAGAGGCGTGTGGCGCTGGTTAACCAATTGCAACAATGTTGCAATCGGTAATTAGAGGCTCTCCTGGGTGGCCGTCGTTCGACTACCGACCATGCGGCGGTCGGCCATCTTGGATCCTTTGTTCCCTCAGCGGTGCTAGGTCGTCGAGCGCATGGTACTAAAAACGGCTACTCGACGGCACGAACACCGCTGAGCCTCCAGGACGTTCGGGAGTTCCAGGCCATTCGGTATTTCATTCCCTGGAAGGCAATCGGTTTTCAATAAATGTGTTTTTCGTGCGGCGTTCGGTTATTTTAGCTGGGATCTGAGCGGTAATCTCACGAATGAGGCGCTCAGACCCCAGCTATCTACCGAACGTCCATTCGTGCAAATCAACAGTATATTCACAAAGTTATGGATTTTTGTATAAATTGTCAGTTCTGCTGCACGAGGGGATAATCCACTTAACGGCATATTCTAGGAGGAGGATCCCTCTCGTGCAGCAGTGCCTGATGGGAGAAATATGTTGTACTGTAAGTTCCCCATTTAGTCCCCTCTAGGAATGCCCCTGGGAGGGGACTCAGGAAACCCCTTGCATGGGGACTTGTATAAATTGTGCAGCAGAATTAAAGGACTTCAGTTGACTCTCAGAACTGTGTCTCGTCCGGTTACTGGGAGGTTGGGGATATTGCCTTGTTGTTTCAGCGCTTGACTGTGGATTACTTCCTGAACCAGCGGAATTCGTGGATTTAATATTGGCGTTCCGCTACAGCCTCTTTATAAATCACTGGTAAGACCACATATTGAATATGCTGTGCAATTTTGGGCACCTGTTCTAAAGAAGGATATTATGGCACTAGAAAAAGTGCAGAGGCGGGCTACAAAATTAATAAAAGGAATGGAACATATCAGCTATGAAGAAAGGTTAACAAATTTAAACCTATTTAGTTTAGAAAAACGTCGCCTGAGAGGGGATCTGATAACATTATACAAATATATTCGGGGCCAATACAAACCATTGTGTAGAAATCTATTTACAAACCAGACTTTAAATAGGACACGAGGCCATGCGTTTAGACTGGAAGAAAGAAGATTTCATCTATGGCAAAGGAAAGGGTTTTTTTACTGTAAGAACAATCAGGATGTGGAATTCTCTGCCTGAGGAAGTGGTTTTATCAGAGTCCATACAGATGTTCAAACGGCTACTAGATGCATACTTGCAAGAACAGAATATTCAAAGATATAATCTTTCAATGTAGGGTAATAACTGCTTGATCCAAGGATAAATCTGACTGCCATTCTGGGGGTCAAGAAGGAATTTTTTTCCTAGCTTGTTGCAAAATTGTGCTTCAAACTGGGTTTTTTTGCCTTCTTTTGGATCAACAGCAAAAAACAAATGTGAGGTAGGCTGAACTTGATGGACGCAAGTCTCTTTTCAGCTATGTAACTATGTAACTATATATTGATTTAAATAGATTTACTAGGAATTTGTGTTTGAAATAATATTTTATGAAAAATGTTGTCATACCGTCTAACAATGCTCAAAAGGACTTGAATCATATAGAGATGGTACATGTGGTGAACATAATCTCACCACGGGCTCCTGGAGAAGCCTGCTTGCCAGCCTCCTGCCTCAGGACTATGGCCCCTGCAATAGATACTAATATACTTAAAAAGGCTCTGTTCGTGCAATTGGGATTGTATGCTTCGGGAACCGAACAGCCGCACGAACCAGAAACCACCTGGGAGCTTGTTAAGCCCAATTAATACTTTGTAGCAATTTCCACCGCAGTGTTCATCTGGGTCGCCGCTTTTCGTATGAATGACCACGAGGCAACGGTGTTTGGGCATGAATCTCATGGAACTAAAAGTCAGACACAGAAACTCCCGAACACTGCTGGACTTGTGTGTGTAGAATGTTTGCTTGTAACTAGACTCCTCTCAGGTCCTGCGGGGTATGCCCCTGGAATGTGATTAAGGAAACCCCTTGCATGGGGAGTTGCATTAAAGGCTGCATATGGCTCCCATTAAACCAGTTCCAGTTCATCCCCAGAAGCAGGTCTTCCCACTGGTAGCTGGACCCAGGAAGGGACGGCGAGACCCCGGCCAAGCTATGGCGGCTAAGGGTCTACAGTGCTGATGGTGTCTGGTTGAGTGCTTGGAGTACTCGGTGAGCACTAGGAAGCAGCGATTGGTGGAGATAGCCAGTCGGGGTGCCAGGCAATCCGCCACAGTACACACCTCTCTGAATTAGAAAACTTCCTTTTTTCTAAGTGGTTGATGTCGATGGAAATCTCAACAGTTCAAAATATGGTTACCTCTGATATAGACAAACTAAAACCACTGAGTTTCAATCCAATTTAACTCCACAGGAGCACAGGGCCCATAAAAAAAAAAACTTACACAGAATGCTAATACAGTGATAAAACCGTGAGGCAAAGTAATATGGTTATTAAAGACACCTTGTAGATAACATAACATATGTGAAATTATCCTTGTGCAACAGTTTAGCAGTAGTTTGAGCCCAGTTGCAGGAGATGGCACAAGGAGTAAGCATAAACCAAAAACACAGGACAGATAAAGGGGAAATCCAAAGGCAGAGTCAGACGAGAAGCAGAAGTCAGGGCTGGCAGCGGAGTATCATAGTCAGTAAAGCAGGCAGAGGTCAGAGTCAATGAAATCAGTCAGCAGAGTAACAAAGATCCGACAGGAAACACCAAACAGACCAAATGACCAGATCCTAGGTCTCAGGCAGGGCTGGCTTTTACAGCTTGATGATTAGGAGCAGCTGACCCTAATTGGTAAGGGGTTGCAGGTGGATCAGCACTGCTCCATCCAGGCAAGGGGTCATGAAGCAGAATATTGAAGATAGATACTGAAGCCCCCTGGTGGATATCACAGCAGAGGACCTGACTGGAATGCTGGAGCTGTGAATTCAAATCCAGCCAGGTCTCTTAAAGGGGTGGCCACGCCTTGATGTCTGCAGGGTTCGGGGTGCACTGTGACAGCCCCCCCACAGACAGGGCTTCAACTAGAGGATCCATTTCAGGCTCAGACAGGGAATCCAGATCTGTATAGGTATCAGGATCCGGAGTGTTGGAACATTTTGCAGGTTGTCATTCTTCGAGAAGGCAGTGGAGGCAAGAAGCAGCAACCACCTGAGGGGATGCAGCTTTGGCTTTAAGTGCCTGCTCAAATACCTTTAGATCTTGCCTGCGGAACACGGTTCCACTGGAGGCAATTAAGGCAATCCTTGATTGAAAATTATTCCAAGAGGGAGTCCTAAGTTTCTATATTCAAAAAGGGTTCAAAATCCTTGCCTGGAAATTATAGACCTGTGAGCTTAACTTCTGTGGCTGGTAAAATATTTGAAAGGTTATTAAGGGATAATATTCAAGAATTCCTTGAGAAGAACATGGTTATCAGCAAAAATCAGCATGGTTTTATGAAGCACAGGTCATGTTAAACTAACTTGATTGCGTTCTACGAAGAAGTAAGTAGAAGTATAGATCAGGGTGTTGCCGTGGATGTGATCTATTTGGATTTTGCCAAGGCATTTGATACAGTTCCACACAATAGATTAGTGTTCAAACTCAAGGAAATCGGTCTAGATGAAAATGCTTGTTCTTGGGTAGAACATTGGCTTAAAAACCGAGTACAAAGAGTTGTCATTAAGGGTAAATTTTCAAGCTGGACAGAGGTGGCAAGTGGTGTCCCTCAGGGGTCTGTTCAGGGACCCCTTCTATTTAACATGTTTATAAATGATCTTGAAGACAGCATTGAAAGTCATGTTTCAGTGTTTGCTCATTACACAAAACTTTGTAAAATAATACAATGTGAGCAAGATATTACTTTGCTGCAGAGGGATTTAGATAGACTGGGGGACTGGGCACTCAAATGGCAGATGATTTAATGTTGAAAAATGCAAAGTTATGCACTTCGGCGTAAAGAATACACAAGCAACGTATACCCTTAATGGAAGCAAATTAGGGATAACAACACATGAAAAGGACTTGGGAATTTTTATAGACAACAAACTATGCAACATTGTGCAATGTCAATCAGCAGTGGCCAAGGCCAGTAAGGTATTGTCATGCATGAAAAAGGGCATTCATTCTCGGGACAAGAATATAATTTTGCCTCTTTATAAATCACTGGTAAGACCCCATATTGAATATGCTGTGCAATTTTGGGCACCTGTTCTAAAGAAGGATATTATGGCACTAGAAAAAGTGCAGAGGCGGGCTACAAAATTAATAAAAGGAATGGAACATATCGGCTATGAAGAAAGGTTAACAAATTTAAACCTATTTAGTTTAGAAAAACGTCGCCTGAGAGGGGATATGATAACATTATACAAATATATTCGGGGCCAATACAAACCATTGTGTGGAAATCTATTCACAAACCGGACTTTACATAGGACATGAGGCCATGCGTTTAGACTGGAAGAAAGAAGATTTCGTCTAAGGCAAAGGAAATGTTTTTTTACTGTAAGAACAATCAGGATGTGGAATTCTCTGCCTGAAGAAGTGGTTTTATCAGAGTCCATACAGATGTTCAAACAGCTACTAGATGCATACTTGCAAAAACAGAATATTCAAGGATATAATCTTTCAATGTAGGGTAATAACTGCTTGATCCAAGGATAAATCTAAATCCCATTATGGGGTCAAGAAGGAATTTTTTTCCTAGCTTGTTGCAAAATTGTGCTTCAAACTGGGTTTTTTTGCCTTCTTTTGGACCAACAGCAAAAAACAAATGTGAGATAGGCTGAACTTGATGGAAGCAAGTCTGTTTTCAGCTATGTAACTATGTAAGTTTGAAAGAAAAGAATACGAGAAAATCCCAATTTTCTACTTTCTCCCAAAAATGAACAATGACAGGACCCAACCCCCAGGTAGACCCATTATTTTGGGCGTTAACTCTGTGTCTTGCAGGTTATCTGAGAATGTAGACCATTTACTCCGACCTCTAGTAAAGAAATGTACTTCTTATTTAAGGGACACAACCAATGTACTCCAGGAGCAATGTCCAACGTAAAGAAAATTGTTCTCTTGGTTAAAACTGATGTTTCCGCTCTATATACTAATATGAGAAATGATTTAGGAGCAACAGAACACTTTCTAGAGACTACTGCATCCATTCCGTGTAAGCAAATCCAATTCATTTTGGATTCTATAGAATTTGAGTTTGGAAAATAATTATTTTTGGTTCCAGAATGATTTGTACTTGCAAAAATGTGGTCCTGCAATGAGCACCAGGTTCGCTCTCAGCTCTGCCAACCTATTTCTGGCACATTGAGAAACCCAACATATGGGTTCAGGCAATGGCTGGGATACAAACCTGGTGCTAAATAGATACATTGACAATTTTTTTCTAATCCTCTCGGGGGAAGGCATAAGTACGGCGATTTGCGTTTTTTGACTATCACAAGTCATTTCAGCAAACTTAAATATATTTATTATTGAATCTGTTAAAAGATCTGCACTAGTTGTACATTTTCTTTTTTCCGAGCATTATTTGATCTGATGACCGTGTGGCACCATCTACTGGCTGCCTGAGTATTTGTATAATTTATTTTGTTGGTGTGGGAACTCTCACCTTAATGTTCATTGCTCGACTTTTTATATAATTAGTTTTACTGAAACGGAAACTGTTCAGATTATACTATTAATGTTTTCTATTCCCAGCAATAGAGACAGTGGTTATGGTTAATTTAATCCCAGTATGGTATTGCTTTAAATTCTTCTCTCTTGCCTGTTATTGTAGATTGAGAGAGTCCAGAACAAACATCTCTGGCAGAATTACCAGATACGGAAGAACAATATTGACGCGAAAAACAAAAGCACAAACAACGAGAAGCAGCTGTTTCATGGTACAGACCCCAATACAGTAACAAAAGTCAATCACCACGGATTCAATCGCAGCTACGCAGGGAAAAACGGTGAGAAATTAGGCTTTTGGTCCGTCATGAAAAATGTATCTAAAGAGGCTCTCCTATCACTGTAACAAATCGCTGTGTTCAGTCTGAGGGGGCGGGGCCATACACAGAACGCTGTGTTCAGTCTGAGGGGGCGGGGCCATACACAGAATGCTGTGTTCAGTCGGAGGGGGCGGGGCCATACACAGATCACGGTGTTCAGTCTGAGGGGGGGCCAGGCACAGATCACTGTGTTCAGTCTGAGGGGCGGGGCCAGGCACAGATCACTGTGTTCAGTCTGAGGGGGCGGGGCCAGGCACAGATCACTGTGTTCAGTCTGAGGGGGCGGGGCCAGGCACAGATCACGGTGTTCAGTCTGAGGGGGCGGGGCCAGGCACAGATCGCTGTGTTCAGTCTGAGGGGGTGGGGCCATACACAGATCGCTGTGTTCAGTCTGAGGGGGCGGGGCCATATACAGATCGCTGTGTTCAGTCTGAGGGGGCGGGGCCATGCACAGATCCAGATAAGGCTTTATGACGCTGAATACAGCAATCCCAGAATCTTAGAGCATTTGTTCCTGTTAGCGAACACGGCCCGAAGGTAGGGAGAGGGCTTTTAACAGGCAGAGTAGTAGCCCCCATCAGGCATGCGCCAATCTAGTCTGCTTAATGGGAAAGCCAGGCCTGAACACAACCTGTCCAGACCCCACATTCCGTGTGTTTACAGTAAATGCTGGGAGTCCCTTGAACCAGGACCCCCACTAAGATAAGCAAATCATAAGCTTGTGTTTTATAAAATGGATACTATCTTTTAAATATTATTCTTTGTTCTCTCCCCAGCGGCTGCCATCGGGAACGGGACTTACTTTGCAGTTAATGCGAGTTACTCAGCCTCCAGCACTTATTCAAAACCTGACGCACAGAATCAGAAATTCATGTATCTGGCCAGAGTGTTAACCGGGGTCTGCTGCCAGGGCCAGCCTGGAATGATTACACCACCAGCCAAAAGTACCCGCGATCCTACAGATCTGTATGACAGTGTAACCGATTACCTCCAACAACCTTCAATGTACGTCATCTTCAACGATATCCAGGCGTATCCCGAATATCTCATCACCTTCACGGGATGATGTGGACCTTATAAATAATGATATTTTCATGGATGCCACATGCTAATCCGCTATGGCAGGAATTCTGTGCCTTAGGAAATGTGCAATATTACTCTTGTCGTTATACTCTGTATCGAATCTATGGTGTAGCCAGCAGGGGTGGAGGAATATCTCCAAGTCACAACGGTCTTAGCTGCACTAATTAAGCTGCGTTTACTAACTGGTTAATATAGGTGGGATGTTTGTCATTTTATTGCTGGATCGCCCGAGGGGAACTTGGGGTGAGTTAATGCGGAGTTAATCTAATTCCCTGTGCAATATGAAAGGCCAACTTCAGCAGGGAGGGGTTACTTTTACATAATGTATTTTATTGGAATACAGCTCACGGTGTATCTACTGAATTAATCTGAATTTTATGTGATGGATCAGAACACGATAGTCTAGGTTGGTGAAGTGAAAAATATATACAGAAAACTATTTTTTAGAAATAGAAAACAGAAAATTGGCATGTGCGTATGTATTCACCCCCTTTGTTATGAAGCCCATAAAAAGCTCTGGTTCAACCAATTACCTTCAGAAGTCACATAATTAGTGAAATGATGTCCACCTGTGTGCAATCTAAGTGTCACATGGTCTGTCATTACATTTACACACCTTTTGTGAAAGGCCCCAGAGGCTGCAACACCTAAAGAGGCACCACTAACCAAACACAGCCATGAAGACCAAGGAACTCTCCAAACAACTAAGGGACAGAGTTGTTGAGAAGTACAAGTCAGGGTTAGGTTATAAAAAATATCCAAATCTTTGATGATCCCCAGGAGCACCATCAAAACCATCATAACCAAATGGAAAGAACATGGCACAACAGCAAACCTGCCAAGAGACGGCCGCCCACCAAAACTCATGGACTTGGCAAGGAGGGCATTAATCAAAGAGGCAGCACAGAGACCTAAGGTAACCCTGGAGGAGCTGCAGAGTTCACAGCAGAGACCGGAGTATCTGTACATAGGACGACAATAAGCCGTACGCTCCATAGAGTTGGGCTTTATGGCAGAGTGGCCAGAAGAAAGCAATTACTTTCAGCAAAAAAATGGCACGTTTTGGGTTTGCAAAAAGGCATTTGGGAGACTCCCAAAATGTATGGAGGAAGGTGCTCTGGTCTGATGAGACTAAAATTGAACTTTTCAGCCATCAAAGAAAACGCTATGTCTGGCGCAAACTCAACACATCACATCACCCAAAGAACACCATCCCCACAGTGAATCATGGTGGTGGCAGCATCATGCTGTGGGGATGTTTTTCAGCAGCCGGGACTGGGAAACTGGTCAGAGTTGAGGGAAAGATGGATGGTGCTAAATACAGGGATATTCTTGAGCAAAACCTGTACCACTCTGTGCGTGATTTGAGGCTAGGACGGAGGTTCACCTTCCAGCAGGACAATGACCCCAAACACACTGCTAAAGCAACACTTGAGTGGTTTAAGGGGAAACATGTAAATGTGTTGGAATGGCCTAGTCAAAGCCCAGACCTCAATCCAATAGAAAATCTGTGGTCAGACTTAAAGGGACACTATAGTTACCTGAACAAGTTCAGCTTAATGACAATGTTCGGGTGAGAACTATAGCTCCCTGTAGCCTTTCTCATGTAAACACTGTATTTTCTGAGAAAATACAGTGTTTACATTGAAAGCTAGGAACACCTCCAGTTGCAGTCACACAGAGGGAACCAGAGGGACTTCGGAGTTGATGGAGGCATAATATGCCTCCATCCACTCAGATCTGCTGTCAGCAGAGCACAGGGCAGCACTGTGCACAGCATCTTGTGATTCAGTATCTCCACCCTCTGCCTGCAGACACTGAACTTTCCTCATAGAGATTCATTGATTCAATTAATCTCTATGAGGAGATGCTGATTGGCCAGGGCTGTGTTTGAATCATGCTGGCTCTGCCCCTGATCTGCCTCTTTGTCAGTCTCAGCCAATCCTATGGGGAAGCATTGTGATTGGATCAGGCTACCACTTCTGATGAGGTCAGCAGACTGCTTGTTTTTTTCTGAGTCTAACGGCATGCAGATCTACTGCTTCTGGCTTGAATACAGTAAGATTTTTGCTATATTTATGGAGGCATGAGGGGCCCTGGGGGGTTGGGGGGGGCGGGGGATGGGGCTAGATGGTGGTGTTAACACTATAAGGTCAGGAATACATGTTTGTATAGTGATCCTTTAAAGATTGCTGTTCACAAGCGCAAACCATCCAACTTGAAGGAGCTGGAGCAGTTTTGCAAGGAGGAATGGGCAAAAATCCAAGTGGTAAGATGTGGCAAGCTCTTCAGCAGTGCAGTCAGGGGGAGGGGGGTCACCCAACCCAGCAGTGTGACACAGACACCTGCGGAGGGCCCAGTAGAGGGAATTAAATTATGGAGGGCGGTGCCCTATAATACTAAAACAGAAAAGGGGGTCACCCACACATAGCAGGCCCGGGGCCTTCTTCCACCTGGGGCCAAGGTGGCCCAAAACCTGAAAGAAAGCAGTACAGCCAGCATATAGTGGGGGTGGGAGGAAGCCGGAGCTGGCCAGAATGCGTGGCATCGCACGTGGAAAAACGTTGAGAGCCGCAACAGGGGCCGGGAAGGCCGAAAAATAGGGGGGGGGGGGAGGGGAGGGAAGCGAGTTGAAGCCCAGGAGGGCGCCGCAATCATGGTCTGCAGGGGGGATCCCAGGGGAAACCAAAAGGACAGGCACCACCCCAGGCGCAACATCCCCACATAAAACCCAAAAGAGGCACACAGTAGCCCCAATAAATACAACAGATAAGCAATTATAAAGCAATATAATAACACAAATAACCAAGAGCAGACACTCTCTGAGTTGGACAGTGTTCACCTGTTTTGTTCTGATTTGGAAAAGTTATATTAACTGTTTCTTTGCTGGTGAAGGTTTTCAGTAAAGAAGGTAAAGCAAATATGAAGCCTCCTGTCTTGCCCTAAAATGTCAGGACCATAACACAAGTGAATATCATATGTGGCATATACCAAGGTGATGTGCCATCCCCAATGCTGTTTTCCTTAGCCCTCAACATACTATGCCAGATCATCATAAAGAGGGCACACGGATACAAATTCAAGAGTGGAGCTACCGTCCGCAACCTACTCTTCATGGACAACATCCAGCTGTATGCCAAGAATGGGCGGGACATTGACTCACTGATCCACCTAACTAGTATATGGAAAGGACATCGGAATGTTGTTCAGACAAGATAAGTTTGGGCGGATTATAGCAAAAAGAGGAAAGATGATCAGGTCACCAGAAGATGAAGTGCCAAAAGGCCAAATAGGAGACATAGAGAACAGTTACAAATACCCGGGGGTTCCACAAACACATGCCAACCGACCGTGAGGAAGAGGCAGAAAGCGGCCCGATCCTCCTCCTCCTACAGAGCACCGCAATTGTGGAACGACCTCCCGCACAATTTAAAATCTTCCCTAAGCCTAAAGTCCTTTAAGAGATCCCTCTCTACATATCTCAAAACAGAATGCACCTGTCATGGCTGATTCTATATTTCCTGCCTGTTCTATGTTAAATTTTGTATATATTGTCTATTAATATTGTTTTTGTATTTTGTTGTACCTAATGTAACAATGCAATGATTTGTGGACCCAGGACATACTTGAAAACGAGAGAAATCTCAATGTATCTTTCCTGGTAAAATATTTTATAAATAAAATAACAACATCCAAGTACATCCAGAGAGTCAGACAGATCCCGAGGTCCCAGCTTAATGGCAAGAAATATATCAATTTTCTCCTTGTGTTCCCTCCCTAATTCACTACTTGTGCTTCTTCCCACTTCTGGTTACCCCCTTATTCCACACATATGCCTCATTCACCTCCTAATTTCCCTACTTTAACCTCCCTTACCCAATCCCCCACTTGTGCTCCCAGTTGGAATTTGGAAGTTATGGATAATAAAATAAAGCTTTTCTGGGGAGCGATGATGTGATGTTGCACACACGCCCACTACCTGACATGAGATCGCGGATGCAGGGTGTTGGTACTCCCTGATCGTGCTGAAGTTACACCGTGCCGCCGTTCCAGACGCCTATGATGTATGAGTTGTAGGGCTCTGTAGGGTGATATTCCTCTCTCAAACAAAAGGGTGAAAGCGCACAGAATAATTAAAATGTATTACCCTTATACAGTTTTTCTTTGATATTCCTCTCTGCCAATAAATTTTAGCTGATGTGAGCTACAATTTATTAGATATATTATTTTTAGATCACCTACTTTTCAGAATATGCTGGAGGTGCCATTTCACCCATGGTGCCAGTGAGGTTTGGAATCAACGCCGTGGCGTGAAGCTGCATCTAAAGGCCTAACGTAAACATGTGCAATAATGCTGTTTATCAATGATGTTTACTATGTGTTATGTTGGCTAATATGGACTCATCTCTTACCAAACAAATACCCCCTTTGGAGCATTGTAAAGACACCTGGCTTAGTCACTCTTGGATTCAATCCTTTTGAGATCAAACTTATTGGGACCTTTGCATTGAATTATTTTTGTGTAATTTCAAACTTTTTTCATATAGAAGGAGAAAAATAGTGGTAAAAAATATATTAAAAATAAAACTTTAAAGGGGGAAGAAAATAAAGGGAGAAACAAGGAAAGAAAAGAAGGGAAAAAGAGAAGGTAAAAGTCAAACGAGAGGAATTAAAGAGAAAAGGATGGAGAAAGGGAATACATATTAAAACATCTTTAACCCCTTAAGGACACACGACATGTGACATGTCATGATTCCCTTTTATTCCAGACGTTTGGTCCTTAAGGGGTTAAAGGGACATGTAATATTAAGTGCAATTTGTTTTTGTTGGAACCATGTTTTTGGACTAGTACTACGTCTATCCAGTGATTCTTTCTGGCCATTAGTCAGAGTTTACGCCGTAACAGATCCGTTTCCCACCATGCTTCAAAAAAGGATACATCTCTGAACACTGATAGAAATAAGGGTAGTAATGTCTTGTTTCTTTATTTTACAAATATAACCTACACCTTATACATTTCTACTCACATGGCATATGGTGACTAATAGATTAACAAGATATTACTACACAAAATATGGTGTCCAGCTCTCCAGCCCCCCTTAGTGGAAAGGCCGAGCATTCAGAGCAATCACTCAATATATTGCACCTCGTCATTCTGAAAACCAGTCTCTTCTAGCCAAGGGTCCCATATTGCATCAAATTAATTTTTTCATTAATAATTGATGTCATTTGTTTATGAACTTCCTTCCACCAAATGTCATCATCTTGTTTCCAATTCCCGGCAATGACAATTATCACCACAAGCAAAAGTTGAACTGATAAGAGTTTTAAAATTAGAAGACAACAAATCTAGGTTTAAATGAAGCAGGGCCCTCTCTGGCTCAGAGTTTAGATTTAGCCATTTTTAAAATCTAATCAAAGAGTCTCTGCTAAGTGTCCTACTGATCTTTTTACACAACCTTCCTGTTCCTTACATCTCCAGCAAACTGTCAGGATCTATGGCCATGTTGTAATGTCAGGATTACTGTTGATCCAGCACGCAGAAATATTATCACACTTAGGACTAAGGATAACGTCTAAACGGACCTTAGAATGGCTGGACTTAAAGTATCCGAGAATAGTCAAAATACTTGACGAGGTCAGGGACACAGAATGAGACACAACAATGAGGAAAAGCCAAAAGTCAAGGATACCAGAAATTAGGGAAGTCAAAACGGAGCCAAAGTCAAAAACCAGAAAAACACGATCAGGAACACACTCTCGGATAAGCATCAAAGGGAAACCAGGACAGGGCACTGATCAAAAGGCAATTTGGGTTTAAATAACCCGCTAGAAGCTGTAATTGGCTGTATGTGTCCTCTGACACTAAAACATGCGTGCACGTCTATGATGCGACGTCACACGTAAGCACCATCTTTAAAATGGACAAAGGCTATATTCTTATTAAAACTGGAACCACAGTGGCCGGCGTCTCTAGGAACGCTGCACACGCTGGGGACCGGGACGGAAGGAGGTCAGTAGCGGTTTCCCACGGGCAAGGTAAGTATTTATTATTTCTGTCGGCGTGACCGCTGTGTTTCTGTGCAGGCACGCTGATAGAATCCCGCGGAACCGTGACAGTTTACCCCACTTGAAGACCACCCACCGAGAGGGCA